GATCACAGAAATAAATTACAGTTTAACAGATATTCACATAGAAAACAGCTGTTTGACATTATAATAATATTTCACAATTTTACTTTTATAAAAATGAATTTATTTATAAATATTTTTTAATATTTAAGATTTCTTTAATATAAAAATATTTTATATAAATATTAAATTTTTTAAAAATCAGTCATTTATTTTATTGTATTTTTGATCAAATAAATGCAGCTTTGGTGAACACTCTCACACTCACACACACACAGTCACACACACACACACACAGTCGCTCTCTCACTCACACATCTTAGACGCTGGTGCTCCGGGGCCGCCCTGAGGATACCCGGCTCCGAGAGGAGGATAGGCCCCGCCGGGAGGAGGCGCAGGAGCCTGTGTGTGAGGAGCGGCTGGAAACAAGGGCACAGGGTCGCCTGGCAGAGACGTGGGCGATATGAACCCTGGGGGCATCATGGGACCCGGTGGAGAGGAGGGCGGCACCGAGGGACCCGCCAGGCTGGAGGAGGGCATCGACGGGCCGGACATGAAACCCACCGGAGCTCCAAGAGGACCGGACTGAGCAAACGGCTGAGACGGAGCAAACCCTGCAGGAATGAATCATTACAGACCGACGGTTGAAGAGCATCCACATACTTTTCATGGCTAATAATACACTGTTGTTTGGTGTATAGCTGGGTGATATGGCCAAAAATATTATTACAATTGCACAGACACTATTGGAAGAGAGTTGAACTGGATGATGACATCACTGAATCATCAATGAACTGACTTTAGCTGAAAAATGACTCTGTTATTATCTTCTTGCAACATTGACAAACTATTTTCCTGTTTGACTCTGTAAAGCTGCTTTGACACAGCCAGTATTGTATAAAGCGCTATACAAATGAATGTGACTTGACTTGACAATATTTTTTCCATATCATACGATATCAATATTTATAACGATATTCATCAATGGGGAAGGAAATGCGGAAATGCTTCCACATGTTCGTTAGACATTGAGATTGAATGTAAACATCACTTAAGTAGCTGCTTTTTAAATTTACTTTTGAATTCTAAATTATTAAATTTAATGTAAATGTAATTCTAAATTAATTTACTTTTAAATTCTAAATTCTGTTTTCTGTAAATTTTTTCTTGATTCTGTTTTATGATTTAATATCAATTTATCATCACAATGGTGTCTAATGAAATGAATTAATAAACTTGCATGTTGATAACATGTTTTTAGCATGATTAGCATGTTGCTAGCCTGTTTTTAGCATGATTAGCATGTTTCTATCATGATCAGCATTGTTAATGCTAACAGGTGTTATCATTATTTACAAAGTTTGTTAGCATAGTGTTAACATTATTAACATGTTGCTTGCATGTTGATAACATGTTTAGCATATCGTTAACATGTTGCTAGCATGTTTTTAGCATTATTAGCATGTTTCTATCATGATCAGCAAGGTGTTAGCATTATTTACAAAGTTTGTTAGCATGTTGTTAACATTATTAACGTTGCTAACATGATAAGCATGTTGCTTGCATGTTGATAACATGTTTAACATTTTGTTAACATGTTGCTAGCATGTTTTAAACATCATTAGCATGGTTCTATCATGATCAGCATGGTGTTAACATTATTTACAAAGTTTGTTAGCATGGTGTTAGCATTATTAGCATGTTGCTTGCATGTTGCTAATGTGTTTCTAACATGATTAGCATATTAGATAGATTTTATTTACAAATATTGCATGCACGAATCATATTACTGTAAATGTCAAAAAACCCTGAATTATAGTATAGCCTGTTTAGCCTGTAGCCTGTTTTTAGCATGATTAACACGTCGTTAGCATTTTGCTAGCATGGAGACTAGAGTAATAATGCTGAAAATGCAGCTTTGATCACAGGAATAAATTACATTTTAACAGATATCCACATAGAAAACAGCTGTTTTAGATTGTAAAAATATTTCACAATTTTGTACTGTATTTTTGATCAAATAAATGCCGCCTTGGTGAGCAGAAGAGACTTCTTTGAAGAATCTTCCCGACCCCAAACGTTTGAACAGCAGTGTGCATATCAGCATTTGAATGATTGGTGTGTATTGTGAGTCTGATTTGATTGACAGGTACCCGGAGCTGTGGCAGGGTGTTGTGGGTAGGCGGGTCTCAGGCCCGGCTGTGACGCTCCAGCAGAATCGGGACGTGGTTGAGGAGTGAAGAGACGGGGCATCTGAGGAAAAGCTGCGGCCGCGTACGGCCCCTGAACACACATTACAACACATGCCTAAAATAACTACTGGATTACAGGTTAACCTCATCACAAGCATGATGATGTGAACTCAAGATAGAGCCATTGCCAGTTATTACAGTGCTACTAAAACTACTAACAGTTTTAAATAAAGCTGAAATCAAATCAGGGCTTGCAAAATCGCTAGCCCGACGTCCCGGAGCTATTGTGTTTTCCAGTCGGGCTACCAAAATGTATCAGCGCCCTGCCCGACGGGCTATCTTGAACAGTGATATAAAATTCCTTCTTTGATTTGCGATGTTCACTAGCTTGTAGGGGTAAAACAGATCATAGTTGATCGTTTGCACGTGTTTCTAAGTCTTGCCGATTTAAACATTCAAGTGTTTTAAACCATTCACGTGTATTCGGAGCTGCGCGCACTCATTCAAAGCGCACACAGAGAGCCGCGTTTCAGACAATGCGCGTACACAGAATTGATTCCTCTTTCGCGTATCCTTGCATATGAATGAACACATACACACAAATGTCTCGGCAAGCATTCTCGTAAACACAGTCGGTTATGTCTTAAGTGAATGTAAACAGTGGAGAAAGAAATCTCAAGTGCATCATTATATTGGATCCGTGCATTCGGTCTTAAAGGGGCAGCAGCCTACAAACACCTGCTGTTCCATAAGCGCCACCTGCTGTCAGAGAGTGACATTTGCGTCTCATTCACAAAGCTAAAATCAGACCATTCTGTTTTTGCTTCAAATTTCGAAATTATACAATCTAATTGCAATCAATCTACATAACATGTACTTAGCATCTTTGTTTGGATCGTGATTAAAATGCAATGGTTGCCTCTGATTTTAAATGGAAAAAGCACAGCCAAAGCCTTAGTTTGTTTATATGAAGATATTTATTTTATTTGTATTATTTAATTATTTGATTTGATTAAAAATTTTAAGTTAGTTTTATTATTTGACATATTTCAATTTCACAAAGAAATGTGCAGCATTTTGTTGGAGAAATAATAAAAGGACACCTTTTCATTTATAATTTGTCTTAAATCTAATTTTGTTAAAAAGAAATTGTATTGTGAAAACAGTATCGTGAATCGTATCGTATCGTGAGTGAATCGTTACATCCCTATATGCTACTAGTTTTTGCTGTTGTATCAAAGAAGTATTCTGTTATTTAAATAATAAAGAACCATATTTTTTTTTTGCTCATCTGCAAAATGACCCGATGTGTTATGATAATGCAATATGATCCGAGCCGTGGGTTTTGTGATCCGTTGCACCCCGACTCTCTTGACTTGTTATTTGAAGAAAAAAAGCAATCAATTAAGTTTTTAATCATGCTGATTTGTCCGCAGTGAATTTCAGCCGATGTCTTTTTTTTTTAATATTCGGGCTACTTAAATTCATTTTGGGCTACCAAAATCTGAAGAATGTCTACCAGCGATTTTGAAATTTTGCGAGCCCTGAAAATAAAACATAAATGTGACCCTGGAGCACAAAACCAGTCACAAGTGTCAATTTTTCTGAAATTGAGATTTATGCATCATCTGAAAGCTGAATAAATAATCTTTCCATTGATGTATGGTTTGTTAGGATAGAACAATATTTGGCCGAAATACAACTATTTGAAAATCTGGAATCTGAGGGTGCAAAAAAAATCTAAATATTGAGAAAATCATCTTTAAAGTTGTCCAAATGAAGTTCTTAGCAATGCATATTACTAATCAAAAATTAAGTTTTGATATATTTACGGTAGGAAATTTACTAAATATCTTCATGGAACATGATCTTTACTTAATTTCCTAATGATTTTTGGCATAAAAGAAAAATCTATAATTTTGACCCATACAATGTATTTTTGGCTATTGCTACAAATATACCCCAGCGACTTAAGACTGCTTTTGTGCTCCAGGGTCACATATGAAAAACTATCATAAAAAAATTTAAATGACAATTAGAAATGATGCATTGGGAACTAACTGAAATATATTAGTTTAAGATGAAGTACTAAAATTGCCAAAATTAAACAAACAAAAATAAAGCTAAATAGAAATATTATACATTTTTAAACTATAACCTTACTGTGTTTCAACACAAACTCCCTAAAGACAGCAAACACTTGTAACATGCAGATGACGCATGAGAATGCACTGTAAATCAGACGAGACGAGATGCCCCTGTGCAAACACACACTGTACGCAAGCCTCGTCTTTCACAATATTCAATAGATGCGCAATTTCATCAAGGCCATGAGGAAACAAATAATGTTTGCTGATCATCAGCAGACGGCGTGCACTTCTTCATCACAGAGAGCGTCTCACCTGTGTGTGTGTGTGTGTGCTGCAGGAGTGTGTGTGTGTGTGTGTGTGTGTGTGAGCTGCATCTCACCTGTGTGTGTGCTGCAGGAGTGTGTGTGTGTGTGTGTGAGTGCTGTGTCTCACCTGTGTGTGTGCTGCAGGAGTATGTGTGTTTGCCGGTGCTTTAGCGCCTCCTGCTGGCGCAGACGGCTGCGGTCTCTGCAGGATCTCACCCTTAGCGTGTGACAGTCGCTCTCTCAACATCTGAACACCAGCCTAAACCACACAAACACACACATACAGAACACACTTACCAAACACATCACTCACCACAACTCCTGTACAACACACAGAACAGACTGGCACATTTCTGAAAAAAACATGAATACATATTTTTATTTTATTAATTTATAAATTTTAAAACAGCAATAATACTACCGTACTGTTAAATACAATTTGAGTATTTAAAAATTCTAATAATGATTATTATTATTAATTATTTACACACATCATTTTACTAGATTATAAATTATAAAAATTAAATAAAAAATATATTACTATAGCACTAATATTATTTTATTTTATTAACTTATATAAAAATAAAGAAATAGATTACTATAGCAATAATATTGCATTTTAATAATAATAATAAACAATAATTATTTAATCACTTAAATATTTTTATTTTATTAAATTATAAAAATTAAAACAGCAATAATTCTACTATACTGTATTATTAATTATTAATAATAATACAATTAAAAAAATTAAATCAATAAAGAAATATATTACTATTGCAATAATAATATTGCACTCTAAAATTAAAATTAGTATTTAAATTAGAAATAATTTTCATTATTTCTTCAAATATTTGTATTTTATTAAATAATAAAAAATAAAACCGCAATAATTCTATTGTACTGTAAAATAAAAACTAAGCATTTAATAATAATAATTAAATTTAAATTAATAATAATAATAATTTTACCAAACAATACAAAAAATATAATACTAATTTATTTTGGTGGAAGACCAAACCAAATTCTATTGTTGACAACAGTTGGCTCATAAGTGCTTCTTCCTAATACATGTTTCAGAGGACAGCTGATGCGTGTTGTGTTACCAACAGTATAAGCGACTCAAACTCACAACACATGCAGACGTTGAAAATCATGAGCTGCTCACCTGTAAGTTTCACTGTTACTATGTAAATGTGTATTAGTGTGTGCACCTGGTCTGGGCTGTCAGGCAGGTAGCGGAGCGCTGAAGTCAAGCTGCCCTGTGATGCCAGGATGCTGGAGTACTGGATGAGCTTCTCGGTCAGCGCTGAGCTCTGAACACAAACCTCGCCGCTACGCAGACGCTCGATCGACTTCCGCAGGATCATCACCTTCTCCACCAGATCCTGCAGACGCACGTGAACACAGACGTCAGTGCACGACAGCATTCACTCAATATAAGCGTGAAAGAGTGCGTGTGTGTGACCTCCAGCGCCAGCGGAGAAGAACAGTCTCTCTGTGACGTCCAGCACTCCACCAGACGCTCGATGTTCCCCGAGCAGATGAAGCACAGACAGGCCTGCAGACAGTGCTTCTCTGTGCCTTCAGCCTGCAGACGTTGGCATAAAAGAAAAATCGATCATTCTGACTCATACAATGTATTGTTGGCTATTGCTACAAATATACCCCAGCGACTTAAGACTGATTTTGTGCTCCAGGGTCGCATACAAAAGAGTGAGTGTGTGTGACCTCCAGCTCCAGCGGAGAAGAACAGTCTCTCTGTGACGTCCAGCACTCCACCAGACGCTCGATGTTCCCCGAGCAGATGAAGCACAGACAGGCCTGCAGACAGTGCTTCTCTGTGCCTTCAGCCTGCAGACGAGCACCCAGAGTATCTACACACACACACACACACACACAGAGCTGTCAATCACTCCAGACTCTGAGCTCTGATTGGACGAGCTGCATTCAGCGCTCTTATACTCTATACTGATGCAGAAGTGTGTTTGTCAGCAGCAGCAGACTAATCAAGAGACTGTGGTTAGACTCGTGATGCTCTCACCGCAGAGAGGAGCGAACGCCTCGGGGTTAGCGTAGGTCAGCAGAGCCGCTAGCGCCTCCTTCCAGTTATCCAGCTCACAGCTCTGGACGATATCACGCCAGTTCTGTGTCACCACTGACGAGATCAGCTGACGGGGAAAAACAACTCCTAAATACAGCCTTTCCACTTCCCCAATAATAAGAAAGATAATAGTGAAAAGAATACTGAGACTAATAATAATGATATTATTAAAAATAATCATAATAATTACTCATAATAAATAAGACTAATAATAAAAAGAAAAATAACAATACTAATAAAAGCAAGAACAACAACAATAATTTAATAGTATTTTAATAATAATAATATTATTATTATAAAAATAACAATAATTATTATACTTAAAATATAAATTATAAATTATAAAAAGGCTAATAATGACAAGAAAATGAATACTACAACAATAATTATTATTTAATAATATTTTAAGAATTTAATTGAATTTTTATTAGCATTATTATTGTTTTAAATATTATTGTTGTTATTACTAATATTAGTAGTAGTATTCTTATTATATTGTTGTTGTTGTTATTTGTCAACTTATTATTAACTGAATTATTATTTTTTGTTATTAGTCATCTTTTTATAATCAATAATAATAATTATTAGAAGACTAATAAGAAAACTAACAACATAAATAACTTTATAATACTTTAATAATAATAACTATTATTACAACTATTGTTATTAATATTAATTTAGTATTCTACATAGTATTGTTATTAACAATATTGATATTACTATATTAATTAATATTATTGTTGTTATTATTAGTAGAAGTAGTACTAGCATTCTTATTATATTGGTCGTTTTATTATTATTATTATATTATCAATAATAATAAGACTAACAAGACTTATAAGAATAATTAGAAGAATATTAACAATAAAAATTTTATTAAAATACTTTAATAATAATTAATAAGTAGTACTGTAGTAGTGATAATATTCTTATTATTGCTATTATTATTATTATTAGTTGCCAACTTACAATTATTTTAATTATTATTATTGTTGTATTTTTATTATTATTACTATTAATAATATTTTAGTAAGACAACCAACAAATAAACAAACAAATAAATAACAGCTACAGTAGAGATGTTAAGACTGATATAGTTTCCACTAATGAATCCCGTATAGATGCAGTCGTTAGCGGTTACCATGGAGACGCTGTTGGTCTGTCGGTGGAGGTAGTGTTGCTGGGTCTTCTTCAGTAGCTCCTCCCCTCCGCTGATTGACAGGAGGATGGCTTCGGCGAAACGGCCGTCGTTCAAGCACAGATCCACCGCAGCCTCGAAGTTCCCCACCAACAGAGCCTGATTGATCAGACCGTCTGTATCTGCTCAACACAGCACCACATTCATATCTGAACATCAGTATCATAACACGCGTGTCATTCAGAGACGCTCACCTGAGGACACGGGGATCTGGAAGGGCTCTCGGTCTTTCTCTTTCTTTGGTAGCTGACTGAAGAAATCAGCTGGAGACTCGCGGCCGGACGAACCGTCTGCAGCGCTGCCTGACTCCTCCACTCTCTGATTGGATGAGAAACATCAGGAACGATAAAGCATGAGATCTCCAGCAGGCATGCATTAATTTAAAGCACAGCTGATACACACTAGGGTTGTGACGGTGAGGAAATTTCCCACCGGTTAATCGACGTGTGACAACACCAGTAATACCGGTATCACCGCGGGGGCGTTCCCTCTTTTCCTCACTTTCCTTCGCTTTTAAATAGCGGCGTGCGCATTTTACTTTCACTTTCAAATAGCGGCAATTCGGCGTAAAGCAATTGTTCGTTTTTAGTTTGTTTCAATTTTCCATCTTTTCCTCGCTTTCCTTCGCTTTTAAATAGCTTAAAAGCGCCGTGCGCATTTTACTTTCACTTTCGAATTAGCG